CCATGCCAAGGGGGTTGTGGAGCCATGGGGGTGCCCCACCCATGCCAAGGGGGTTGGGGAGCTGAGGGTACTCTGTCCATGCCAAGGGGGTTGGGGAGCTCAGGGGGTACCCCACCTGTGCCGAGGGGGTTGGGGAGCTGAGAGGGCACTGTTCCCATGCCAAGGGGGTTGGGGAGCCAAGGGGTGCCCTACCTGTGCCGAGGGGGCTGGGGAGCTGAGGGGGCAATGTGCCCATGCCAAGGGGGTTGGGGAGCTCAGGGGGTGCCCTACCCGTGCCGAGGGGGTTGGGGAGCTGAGGGCACTCTGTCCATGCCGAGGGGTTGGGGAGCTCAGGGGGTGCCCCACCTGTGCCAAGGGGCTGGGGAGCTGAGGGCACTCTGTCCATGCCAAGGGGGTTGGGGAGCTCAGGGGGTGCCCCACCCATGCCGAGGGGGTTGGGGAGCTGAGGGGACAATGTGCCCATGCCAAGGGAGTTGGGGAGCCATGGGGGTGCCCCACCTGTGCTGAGGGGGTTGGGGAGCTGAGGGCACTCTGTCCATGCCGAGGGGGTTGGGGAACCAAGGGGTGCCCTACCTGTGCCGAGGAAGCTGGTAGGCAGCGTGGTGCTAAGGAGGCCAGCCAGCAGGAGTCTGTGCAGCATCTTCTTGTCTGCTCCTTGGGCAGAGGCAGCTCAGGCTCCAGTCTGAGGAAACAGAAACCACGGCCCCTCCTGCCCCCGCCTCCATCTCGGGCCCAGCAAGCGCCTCTCCCTCACACAGCCATTAAGGCCTCCCCACATGAGCCTTCTGCACTTACTGCCCAGCTCCACTGGGACTCGGCTGAGCCAGGGAGGCGGGCACATCACTAATGAGCCTCTCTGGGAGCCAGTGCCCGATGGGGCAGGAGGCTGCAGGCACTTTTGAGGCTGGTGCTGGCATTCCTGAGCCCCACTTGTCAGCCAGGAAAGTGGGTGCTGGTGACTCCCCCAGGCAGGGTCATTACCCTGCTGGGTGTTAGGGTCGGGGCAGTGGCTCCCTGGGGAGGGAGGATCTAGGGTGCGGGCTGAGCAGGCTGGAGAGAGGAGCCCTGGAGCAGCCCAGCCTGGGCAGACGGGCTGAGCTGTTCTTTGGTTGGGAGGTTTTGTTCATAAAGCCAAACCTGGGGGTGACGGGGGTCCTGACTCTGTGCGGGAGGGGAAGGTGGCTCTGGCTGGAGAGCAGGTGGGGAAGGGCACACAGAGGAGTAGGGAGTACGCCCCGCTGCGCCAGCATGAGTCCAACCGCACCCAGCTCTGGGTGGTGAGGTCGGCATGGGGCGGCCGTGCTCCTGCCTAGGGTGAGAGGCCCCTTGTCTAACCCCCCATGGGGCAGAGGCGTGGCCTGGGGAATGGCGGCGCAGCGGGGTGGGGGGCACCGGGGGGGGAGGGGGGCAGTGACAAGATGGCCTCTCAGAAGAACTCTGCCAAGTGGGTCAGAGGGAGAACCACCCCAGCCCAGCCACGGCCTGCCAGAAGCACTCTCCTGCCCTGCCCCCGCCCAGCAGCAGGGCCTTGGGCCCCCGCCAGGGGCTCCATTAGTGGTTGCTCAGGAGCCAGAGCCATTAATTGCTGCACTTATAGGCGCCCTGCGGATGGGGGGGGTCAGCCCCTTCCTCCTGCCGGCTCGTCACCGCCCTCCCCACCCACAGAGCAGCCAGCCCGGGAACGCCCTGCACACGAGCTGCCAGGATCCCTTTCACCTGTCCATGCACGCCCCAGATGAGCCTCCCGTGGCAGCAGCCTGCCCCCGGCTGCCAGCAGAGACCTGCCAGGTCTGTTCCAGCCACCAGCGCTGCCGTGAGCCGCCATTCCCCTCCGCCCTCCTGCTTCAGGCTCTCTGCAGACTCAGGCAGGCCTCCTGCCCTGGTTACCGGGGGCCCGTCTGGGAGGTTTTCCCACGCCATGGGGCTAGAGCTATTCTTTAGGTGGCAGCTCCGATTCTGAAGCACAAGCCTGAGCCTGGCATTGTACCCAGGACCATCCCATACCCCAAGGCCACTGCCCAGCCCCATCACTGAGCTCCCATCCCACGGCCTTCGGTTTGGTACGTGCCGGGTCTCCCGGTGCTCCAAGCTCACAGCCCTGGGACAAGGGGCCTCTGGCGAGCAGCTCGCAAGGTGTATTGCCAGTGCGTGGGGCCCGGCTTGGCAGGGACAGGGTCCAACCGGAGGGGGCAGCTGCTGCGGGGAAGGCCTTGCCACTGGCTGTTCCAGGGCACTGAGGACAGGAGCCAGCCCTGCTGTGTGCCAAGAGCAGAGACAAAGAAGGCAGAGCACAGCCTCCTGCGTGCCCCATGGGCAGGGACCTGTGCTCAGCACCACCAGAGGCAGCTGCGGGCACCCCCCGCCCCCGCCTCCTTGCAGTAATTAGCCCTGGGGGACGCCAGGGCAGTTCCACAGCCCCAGTGCCGCGCTGTGTAATGACCCTGGCCCCATAGCAACCAGAGATGCTCAGGAGGCTGCTCCTGAGGGCATCCAGCGGGGCCAGGAGCTGTGGCGGGGGCATGGCTGCAAGGAGCCACGTTCAGAGCCATTCCCATGGCCCCGCAGCCAGGCCAGGGGAGCAGCAGTGACGGGCAGCGAGATTGCTAGCCTGGAGCAGCCCCGTGTCCTGGAGCAGCTTGCTCCTTGGCACTGGCTGCCTCTGGGGGAGGCACAGGAGCCTGTCCTGACAGGCCATCCCCCAGCCCTGGGTACAGCCACTGGGCTTGGCACCTGCCCTGCAGGAGGCAGCCAGGTCGCTTCTTTGTACTGTTCTCATTCTCCATAGAAACATCGGATTCTTTTTTAACCCTACCCAGCTCTTAATCTAGTGGCAGTGAGTTCCACAGACTCCATGTGCATTCTCGACAGTATTCCCTTTTGCTGACTGTCAATGCCCTTGGGTGCCCCGTGGTATCTGTGCTGTGACCAGGGGAAAGTGCAGCGGCTGCTCTCCCTCCCCTCCTGGTCTCTACTACCCCTCTTTAACACACCTCAGCTTTGTCTGTTTCTGCTCCGTCCCTCCGAGGCAGCTGCCAGGGAAAACAGGTCGACAAGGCAGGCACCATAATGCTCTGCCAGCTAGGGGCTGTCAGCCTGGCCGTGGCGTTTAGTGGGACTGGAGTTTGGGTCTCAAATCGAGATGGACAGTTGGTTAGAGGTCAGACTGCACCGCTTCCTGGGGGGCACAGTCTGGCCAGACAGCTCAGCCCGAGGGAGAATGGGGCCCGGAACGAGGGGCAGGGAGAGAAGTGTGACGTTAGGAGTGTGATATAATATCTCATTGAAAGGTGACAGGGCCAGAAAGAGTTAATTAACTCCCAGACTGACCTGACCCAGGGCCAAACTTTAGCGACTGGTTAGGAAGATCTGTAAATGAACAGAGCTTTGAAATGCAGCCGGGGTTGTTAGCGGTAGAAGGGGAGATGTTTGCTCAGGTCTTGTGATATAAGCAAACAAGTCTTGTCTATTGCTATGGCTTTGATTCAAAGATCAAAAAAGAAATATTAACATTTAGGAAGACACTTGAGTGAAATAGTATTATTGTCTCTATGTCTCTTTGAAGGTTGTGGTAACCTGTATCTGAACTGTTCAATGGATAAATAATCCTGTGCTAATTGCCAGGATGTTTGGGAGAAGGAAAGTTAAGCCTATTGTTTTCTCAGGCGAAAAGGCTGCTGGAAATGTATAAAAACCCTGGGACACGATCCTGCTTCATCTCAGATCTGCTTTGGGTTTCAAGAAGGGGAAACCCTAAGCCATAAGAATTGAATCTGACTGGACTGAACTGACTGGAGTCACCCTGAATATGGACATTGGACTATAACCTATGGACTATTTCTAAAAGGACTTTTGGCAACTACAAACTCATCTCTGCTATGCATCTGAACCTCAAGAATTGAATTCAAGTCTGTCTGTCTATTGATCTTTTAACCAACACTCTCTCTCTTTTCTTTTTAAATAAATTTTAGTTTAGTTAATAAGAATTGGCTATAGCGTGTATTTTGGGTAAGATCTCAGTTATAATTGAACCTGGGTGTGTGGCTGATCCTTTGGGATCGGAAGAACCTTTTCTTTTATATGATGAGAGAAGATTTTCAGTAATCATCATCATATCTGACGTGTGTGTCTGGATGGAGACCGGAGGCTGGGCACTTTAAGGGAACTGCGTTGTTTGGACGTCTGAGTAACCAGTGAGGTAATACAGAAGTTGTTTTGTGCTGGTTGGTAAATCTAAGTATTGGAATATCCACCAGCGTTCGGGGTTTGTCTGCCGCGGTCTGTTTGCAGTTCACCCTACTTGAGTGACCTCAGCTGGCTCCCACGGGCAGCATCGTCACAAGGGGTCTAGTAAAGAATCAGTGCAACCCTCCCCTTTCCAACCTTCCCCCACTGCTCGGAACAGCCAGGGACAGTGGGGGGAACCACTCAGTCCTTAGTGCCCCCTGCTGGGCCTGGGCTGGGGGGAGGGGCACTCGCTCCTAGCACCCCCTGCTGGGCGGGGGCCGGAGGGGACTCAGATGGGGGAGGGGCACTTGCTCCTAGCACCCCCTGCTGGGCGGGGGCCGGAGGGGACTCAGATGGGGGAGGGGCACTTGCTCCTAGCACCCCCTGCTGGGCGGGGCTGCAGGCTTGGGGGGGTGGGGCTAGAGAAGTCTCCCTCCCTGACACTGTGGGCTCAGTCAATAGAAACTGCGGGCGCAGGAAATGAAAGGGGGGGCATCCCATCAGCTGCCTCCTGCAGGCCCAGAACCAGCACCCCCGGCCCCGGGATCTTACCCCCCCACCCTCGGCCCGGGTCAGGGCCCTCCCCACACGCTGGAACCAGCAGCAAGAGCCACAAAGCAGACACAAGGCGGGAGGTGCAAACAGGCCTTTTCTTGCCTAAAAGCTCACGACAAACTCAGGGAAATTCAGTCTCCAGTTCCACAGTGTCCATTAGAGCCGCAGCCCCCACCCCCACCCCCGGCCAGCAGCTTCAGCCTCCCCAGCCCGGACCCCCTCACCCACCCCGTGGCAGGTTTCCAGTCAGTCAGACCCCTGCAGTCCAGCAGGCTCCAGCACCTGCCCGGTTACCCCACAACATGGGGCGGGGGGACGGGGAGATCCGAGAAGCTGCAACCTGCCTCCTGGCCGAGCCAGCAGCATCGCCACCGAGAACGCAGCGTTCTCCAGCTGCAGCGTCGGCAGGGCCAGGCTGAGCACTGGGAGAGGCCGGGGATCCGCCGTGTAGTCGGGGCCGTGCCCCAGCCCCCACGCTTGGCCATTTGCAATATTATTGAAAACGCAGATTAATAAATAATGGAGGCAGCTGCTCCCGCGAGTCCGTCTGCATCCCGTGCAGCGTCCGCCCCCAAGCCACAGCCCGAGGGAGCTCCCTGCCCCACCCCACCCAGGCAGGGGCCGTCTCCCAGCTGGACGCGGCGCGGCTGGTCTGCTCCTCTCCTGGCCGCCGGGGGGCTACCCAAAGTGGATGCGGAAGGTGGCGATCTCCATGGGGTCCATGTGGATCACAGTGCTGTTGGGGGAGGCCGCGCCCAGCGGGTACATCAGTGTCAGCGAGGTGGGCTGCAGGGACCCCAACTCCAAGCCGTAGAACAGGCTCCCAAGGGAGAACTGCAGAGAGGAGGGGGCGTGGGGTGAGGGGCTGGCGCCTCAGGCTGTGCCCAGGCAGTGGGCATGGAGCCAGCGCCGAAAGGCAGCCTCCCCTTGCGGGGGCTGCGAGACGGGGGCCAGGATGTGACGGAGAGCCAGTGCCCCAGGAATGCAGCCTAGCCTAGCCTCAAAGCACGTTGCTCCCTCTGGCAGGCACCCCCTCGCCAGCACAACCTTCCCCCCCGGCCTGCCCAGGCCTGATCCGCAGCACCAGCATGAGGGTGGGTCAGCTGCAGGGCTGCAGCGGGGGCCGGGGGGAGAGGGCACCGGCCGTGTCCCAGACCCACCTTGCCCCGGCGGGGGAGGGGGGT